GTATTTAAACGCAAACAACGCCAAGAAAGAGAAGAAAGTAAACAAAAATTGTCCAAAATTGACAAGTTTTTTAATCAGCCTTCTGCAAGTACTTCTGGACAAAATATTTCTATTGATAATGGCCATAGGTTAAATAAGTGCAACGTATCTATGAATAAATAAATCTATCTAAATATATATAACTCAAAGGTGACTGACTGACATAGTAATCTATCAACGCACAGCTCAAACCACTGGAAGGATCGGGCTAAAATTTGGATACAGGTAGATGTTATGACGTAGGGATCCACTAAGAAAGGATTTTGATCAATTCTACCCCCAAGAGGATAATAAAGGGGATGAAAGTTTGTATGAAACTGTCAATTTTAAACCGATCGGACTGAGACTTTGTATGCATAAAGCTACTATGACGTAGGCATCCCCTAAGAAAGGATTTGATGAATTCCACCCCTAAGAAGATAAAATAGGGGATGAAACATTATTTCAGGTTTTTTTACACGATATATTGAATAAATATAATAAATATATATTGTTAGAAATGCTGCTCAGAGTTACTTTACCACGCAGACGAAGTCGCGAGCATAAGCTAGTATATAATAAACCCTTGAATCTTTTCTATTTCGTTTTATTGCCTAGTTATTGGGTAAGTACCTATAAAAATAATTGTAATTTATGTTGTTAGTGTTTAATAGTTTTATTACCTGCCCATGCACGAAAAAGAGCTGATGATAAAGTTGCTTAGCATTTTTAAAGTACTTTTATATTAAAAGATTTTACTTCAAAAAATCTTACCAGTTTTGATAGCAGTGGGCCCCATTTTTTTATTTGCCCCAGGGCCCTAGGTTACCTAGCTACGCCACTGAATAAAACTTACTTATAAACTTATTTGATTGCACCTTTATGTTACAACAGCTCGATGTCGAGCTCGAGGATATTTTAGTGTTCAGTTGTAAACAAGGAATCCCTATAGTTTCGCCATATCCGTCTCTCCGTCCACAATTTAGCTTAAATATATCGGTACTAGAATATTGTAATTTGGTATAAGTATACAAGTTAATTACGCCTTCAAAGTGGTAAAGAAATTTTGAAACAAAAAATATACATGGTACCCTATCCTAAGTGCAAAGTGTGGATAATAATTTTTGTTCGTCTTTCCCATAGTGTTTCAAAAACATTGAGGGTGCAGGAAGACCGTTTTTCGATTTAGTAATACGTTTGTGACTTATTGAAATAATTTTCGTTAGAGTCAAGTACCCCTGCCATCTCTACCAACTAAACGGTCGTTGGTAAGCTATAAACGTTATGGCAGAAATACCTACATATAATGAAGTTAAAAGAAAAACTATCACATTTACGTGAGCTTTACAAGTTTACGAGTAATCTAACTCGAAAATTACAAACAACTCTACAGAAAACAACAAACGTGATTTATTTTTCATTTTTATCGGATAATTGTACGGAACCTTTCGTGCGCGTGAACGACTCATAGTTGGCCGGTATTTGTAACAGAATAGCTCTGAGTGGTAAGTGTAAGTTTCGCTAACGCGTTCACTAGTGAGCGCGTTAAGAATTTGAATTCTGGCAAAAAATCTAGCAATAATACACATACACTTAAATATATCTATAAATCTTTATGTTAAATTTTCTTTACGAAAATTGAATATAGAAAATAAATTCTGCAATAAATATTAGAAAGAAAAAAGTTTTTATTTCTACTACACTTAAAGTAGGTGTAACTATTACCGGTGGTACTTATAGCAGGTAGGTACAACAGATTACTACGACACAGAAGGCGATACTGTAAACGATTTTAAACTTTCACTTCGTTTATTTAAAGCTTATAATCAATGAAAGACATTAGTAATATTTCCTACTGTCGACTGTACTCGAAGAAATAGATTACCGGTGAAAGGCAATTATTTTGAAATCGAATGGAACCACCATTATAATATTAAATTGGCAAAACAGCTCAAATTAGTTTTTACCGCTAATTTATTTTCATCGCGCTTTCATAAAACCTCAATCGCCTTTTCTAATTTAGAGTATTATTTAAATCATAGAGTCAGGTGGTTTATAACACGGGTTGTCTATCTGATAGAAATACTTTTATAAAAAGACAACCATAAATTGCACACCCACTGCTATATATCATCTTTTCTCCTTTTATTAATGGCTTATTTGTGCATTTCACACAATTCTGCCAATGTCAAGTGAATAAATTAATTTTTAAATTCATCATCTTTAACTGACAGTTGTACAGCCAGTTGCAGAAACATCCATTCAAATTGTCATTCGTTTAAAGCGACATTACCCATAAATTTGACATTCATTAGAGCTTAAAGCCGTCACTAAACGTTAATGGACGTTTATGCAACTGATCGATAACGTATCAGTCACTTTATTTCCAATTTGATGTTATTGTCAGGAACATTTATTTATTTATTTCATATGGACAACCAACAGCATACATATTTCAACTTACTTCAGTAGATTACAGTTAGGTTTAAAAATATAATTTATATATATATATATATATATATATACCAATTATAGGTTGACACAGCATTGTTAATATATATGTGTTAATATATTTTTAAGTACGCCTTGCTTAATAGACGACAGCAACAAGTCTCTCCACCAATGATGAAAACACTAATAAGAAGGCTAATACACTCTGGCTCTTAGTGAAAAGTCAGATCAAAATACCTGTAACACAGATCACAGGGCTTCAGAGAGCACTTCAACCCTTACATTAGTCCCATCATTTCATTTTAATTTTATATGAAGAAATCAATTTACTTTAATTAAGCTAATATAATCACTTGACATCGCTGATAGCCATTAATAAAAGAAGAAATAGAAGAACGTCCAACCAAACAACCTCTCTATATCATCAGCATATCCTTTGAGTACATATGATGTGATGGCCAATTTTTTATCTTTTATCTACCTAATTAAGTAGGTAATTGCTGTAGAATAGTAGCTTTGTATGATGAAACATTTAAAACTAAGTACGACGATTATTTGTGTCATTATTCCGTACGGAAAAAATAAAGTAATTGTTTTGTAGTATCTGAAAAGCAATAGCCATTATACCTATAAGCGTCAATTTTGTGTATAACGTCATAACATCCTCCGAACGTGCTCCAAGCTATTGTTCATAAATAGAACATAACGTTGCCAATAATAGGAACTATATTATTTTAAGTTTATTTTCAAGGTAGGTATTTCATTGTCGATTAGAGTTGTATTACTAAACGAAGACTTTACCTATGTATAGTTTTGCAGCTAATCTTAATGCGATAATTTGTTAGAAATTAACAAGGCCAAACAAAGAGTACAATTCCAGGTATGGTGATCTTACCGTGATCTCTTAAATGATAATCAAACTACACATTGTTTTAATGAGAGAGCACCATCCTTAGAATAAAAGAACACAAAACCACAATTGCTAATTTCTATATGTTCACGCAGTACCCCTTGCCGGTATTATTTCAAACGATTGTAAACAAATAAATGAAGTTCAAAGAATATTACTCAGGTACATATTATATAACGTTTCTAATAAGGCTAAAACCAAAGACTTATAGAAGTCAGTGGCTAAATCATATACTGTATATTTGATAGAAAACAAAGTCTTCTACCGTCTCTACCATGGTGAATGCTCTGAAGAACTCTTTTCGCTTATCCCTCCATCTCCCTTCCTCCTCAGGACCACACGTGCTGGTTTGCGTTGCCACCAACTAACTGTGGCAGCGATTCCTTCGCGTACAAAGAAATTTGGCGACTCATTTCTTTGTCGTACTACCAAAAAATGGAATTGTCTCCCGGCCCATGTATTCCCTCCTTCCTATGACATGGGGTCCTTCAAGCGGGGCGTGAAGAAGCACCTTGCAGGTCGGCAAGGTGAGGTTGGCTAGTGCAGTACCTACGTACTGTTTTCACTAGCTGTCCTCACGTTTGGACTACGCCTCCGCTTACCATCAGGTGGAGCGCAGTCATTTGCCCTCCTATACATAAAAAAAAAAAAAAAAAAAAAAAAAAAATAATAGTAATAGTAATAGTAATCGTATATTTGCTATTAAATGAGGTATTATAAAAGATGGAAAGACAATCACAGTTCAGCTCACTTAGCTATTGCACTAGCATGCAAATATCATATTAGTTAATTTTAATTTAATGTTAGTTTTTTTAATGTTAACTCTTAAATTATTATCTTTTAACCAGTTGATTATTTCTTCCATTGTTTTATTAATTTCATTGTTGTATTCAACTATAGATTTGTTTGAATTTGATACCACCACTGATACATCGTCTGCGAATAACGAACAAAATTGCTTAGTGGTCTTAGGTAGGTCGTTTATGCCAAGGAGAAATAGAAACGGGCCTAAGATACTACCTTGTGGCAAAGTTTGTACCTAACTAGTTAGTTCTAAAATTGAACTGTTTAATTTACTACTGAAGTATGTAGGTAGGTACTTGAAAAATAATCTAAATGATTCGCAACCTACTAAATCTATACATAATATAAAAAAAGTCGCTTCCCAATGTCTGCGCTGAGATCTTTGCACTAGTAACGAATTTTCTAGTAAAGTAGGTACAAAAGCCGCCGAAACTTTCTGACAACGCTATTATCTGTCTCCTTTTATTTATCTTATTGTCTTGCCTGTTGACTTCGCCTTTTTATAATATCCACATTTAAAAAAATCAATAATATTTACGCCCTCCATTCAGTATTACTCGCATGCGGGCTGCAATATATTTCCATCTCTGTATTTGTCTCGTCTAGGTGTTTCGGTACTTCCGATGTTTCAGATTGCATAATAAAAGTTCTAAATATGATTTCATTTTTGATCTGAGTAATATGCACGGCAATGTACACCTAGATATTGTCCAATATTTATTCTGTTAAAGGAACCTAAAATACTAATATAGCATTATTAGTATAGCATTTCGAATGTAAAATTTATTATATTTAAGGAACCATATTTCTATTACAGAATGCGTCTGAGCGCCCGTCGTGTGTCCAAAATTTGGCACGACAGAGAAACTAAGCCCTTGGACAAAGCTATTTATTGGGTCGAGCGAGTCATACGTTGGGGTCACCAAGACCCCTTACATTCAAGTTCCAGAGATCTCAACATTATCCAATTATCACTACTAGATATAGCAGCAGCTTCCATAGTAGCAATAATTGTACTTATAATTTTAACGAAGCTGTTACTGTCATTATTATTTAGGTTAATTAAAGTCAGCTTTAATTCCAAAGTTAAAGATAAGTTACACTAACATTAGTATACATAATTTAATAAATTAAATCATGTAGTAATGTTTATTTGTGGGCGAGATATGTTTTGATTGATTATTTAATCTGGGATTAATAAAAGAAAAAGCAGGAGCCTTTTCTTTTTCAGTTGGATATCGAGCTTTTTCATTTAAATTATTATTTTTGAGTCTTCTTTTTATTATAATAACCTAAATATTCGAATAAGTAAAAATAAGACTGGCAAAGTTGGACTATGTGAGATAAATAAATTTTTATAATTAAAAATAATTTTTATTACGCCATTTAATTAAAAAAATATCTGCCAAAAACAGCAGCAGAAGTTTTCACACAACGAAAATATTTTTAATAAATTAAAGTTTAAAAGCTGATTTGAGAAATGGTTTAGCATAACCTGTAGCTGCCAGGGGGCCAATTCTACAGTTCTATTTTAGCTGGAATTGTATCGTATGTCACTTTGTAGAATAGAAAAACCATAAAAAAACTGTAGTTTCGTTCGGTTTCGATCCGTTTTAAACAAATTTCGATTTAAACAAAATTTATTTAGTAGAATTGGCCCCCTGTAGTGTGTCAACAACAAGAGCCTATACATTAGCCTGTCAGTGCCGACGGTCAGCGTAACACTAAAACCAGCCTAAAGGTAAGTACTATTATTTTCAAAAACATGAAAATACTTTGTGGTGAGTCCGTAAAGAACATGTTCAAGTAAATTCCTTTGTTAACTAAGTACTACTATCAAACAAATCATTCTTAATATAGGGAAAATGCAATGCAATAGCAAGTAAGAAGAAATCTGTACAAGACTGTAATAACATCACGACACGCGGTTTCACGTTTCCGTATAATTTGATCATGGATATAATTATGTTCTTGGACTCTTGTTATTCTGCTCGAATTACCAATGTTACGTTATGTCATATAATAATAAAGATAATTCTTTACCGTGGCTATTTCGCACTTTGAGAATGACAATGTCACTAACCAAAAACGACGTATTTTTTACTTTTGGCAACATTTTTTTTTTTGTTACCTATAAACTTTGAAATGCAAAGATCCCTGTGAACGTAGCTTGCACAGAAACTGCTAGGTGGTGTAGTGATTTGTTTAGAGGAGCTGATTACAATTTCTTGAACTTTAAACGCTCATGATTTAAAATCGCATTTTTTGCATTGTGTCATTATCGTTCTCAACGTGCGATTCATTCTTCTGAATAAACTTAATAGAAATGATGACTACTTCATTTTTGTTGGTCTGTCTGTGAGGTAGATTATAAAAGAATATTAATCACTTTTTCTTCTTAAGCGATAGGTACATTGAGTTGAAATGTTGTATGACGTCACACCCTTCTACATTTTTTCATAGTTGTAACGTAGTGAGCACCCTCAAGTTTAATGTCTATTATAAGCCATTTCTTGTTAAATAGAAGCGACAAAAAAAATTAGCTAATATTTTTCTATTATCTGACTGACAGACTTGATAGAATTTATTTTCTTTTACCCAGGCATCATCCCTACATCCGCGCCGATTATGAAAGAAACGCATGTATCTGAGTCAAGAAAAACCAATTTAAAAAAAAAATAAACCGCTTCAAAAAATCTTAAGAAAGAGAAACGACTGAAGAGTGAAATAATACCATGAATTTTAATCTATACTAATATTATAAAGCTGAAAAATTTGTTTGAACGCGCTAATATCAGGAACTACTGGTTCGAATTGAAAAATTATTTTAGTGTTGAATAGACCACCTCGAATATAATGATAACCACCTTTTATGAAGTCGGTTAGTAAAAATACAAAGTAGCTACTTTTTAAATTTGCTAACAGGAAAACCGAAATGTCAAAGACCAACTTTCAATGCATGCAGGGCCCATATCCGATATTTGAACTTTTTTGTGTAACTTGCAATAACTTCAATTCAACCTATTAACCTATTAATATCCCTAATTCTGGGGTACCATCCTTCGCTGTGGATGGCCACGTCGAGAGAACGGGCCATAACCGACACTGCGGGCCTAGCGCGGATTGAATGGAGAGCATTACCGACAGTAAAACAGCAAAGGCTTAACATGCCTTTCAGAGCATACAGGAGCCGGTGGTAATACATCGGTCACCCATCCAATGAGTGGACTTTACAGAAGTCGCTTAACGTTTTCAATGTGCAACTTACCTATCTATATTAATATTATAAACAGCTAGTTGCACAAACGTCCATTAAAAATTTCATTAATTAAAAGTTACATTATCCATACAAATTTGACATTAATTAAGGCTGAAAGGCGTCATTAAACCTTAATGAACGTTTGCGCAACTGACCGAAAGAGTAAAGATTTATTAGTTTGCATCATATAAGCTCCGAAACTACCGGTGAAAACTATTATAAGAAACAAAAAAAAATAGTAAAAATCTCTGTATTATTTTATCAACAGTGAGTATAGACCACATTATGGGGTTGACTATCACATTATATTAATAATTTAAAGCAAATACAAAGTGACACATAAGATTATGAATACAGAAACCAATTACATAAATTGGTTTGAAAACTTGCCACCAAATAATTATTTCAACTGAATCCTTTGTGCTCTTATCCAATTCATTTACTTTTCAAGCAATGTTAAATAAAAGCGATGAATTAAATTTGCCGTTAATATGCCAAACAAATATAAATTATGAATTTATAACTTCATTTTCAAGCCTTTTTATTTTTATTGGCAATATGTTCACCATTTCTTGACACAAGCTGTATTCCTCTTTCATCATAACAGCAGCATCTTCGTTACTTGTGCAGATATCAACTACAGATTGATAACAATCATAACTCTTTTTCACATGAACCAACTGCACACTTTTATCAAGAGCTATCCTTTTCATACTATTTCTACCAATAAAGGCATAAGCACTTATTACTGGACGAATGAGATCAAAGTCTAGTTTAATAGGCATTATTCCATTTTTGTCTTTGACTGAATTTAAAAATTGATCATAGTTCTCTATGCTCTTTTCACAAAGCATATTGATTTTCTTTAAAGCATGCGGTGATGGCTTCTCTTTGGTTTTATTTAGTTTATCTAATTTAATATTGAGTATATCAGAGTAAACTTCACCTAATTCAAACCAAAGCTGTCTGCAATACTGCAAATAGTATGTTGGATTTATTTCTTTGACAAGCTCTTCGAGCATATCGATCCTCCTTTTATGCATTTTTGCTCTCCTCTCGTCATCCTCCTCAAAGAAAGCAAGGTAGCTGTATGACTGCGAACTGTCCTGTATTAGCTCAATATAATCTGAAGCTAAAGAATCTAATTTATAATACTCTTTTGCTTTATTTAACCAGTTCTGACAACTTAAAAACACATCCCGGGCATCTTGGTATGTTAGAAGAAATTTATCTCCTATTTTATTTTCATATTTTGAGACATCAATGTCAGGGAAAACTAAGCTTTTGATGTCTCCTCCACAAATATTTTCGTGATCCTCTATCTGCAAATTGGACATATCTGCAATCAAAAATTTCGATCAGTGGTTGGTATAATATTGATATGGAGTTATCAAAGAATGCAAAACTTCCAGTTTAATTTCAACTTTATTTTCAGTGCATAAATAATCAATTGGAGAAATTTTAACAAGAATCATTTATCTAATTATCAAAAAATTGTACAGAAAGATACTCTTAACTTACAACAGACTAAAAAAATGAGTTAAATATTTTTAATGAAATAATAATTAAAACATCTAATATCACAGCAATGTAACTACATTTAAATTACAATTTAACAACAAGGTTATCAATTAATATTATATTTGTATACATACCAGTAATTGCATCTGTTAGAATTTCAGAATCACTCATTAACCTTGCTTTAGATGCAGTCATCAATAATAAGCAATATTTTGCCCAGCATCTAGCTACATCTGCTGATCTATGTTTGAAAGTCTCTAACTTAGCTAGAAATGCATCATCATTACTTTCTAACGCCATAAGCTTTTCTTCATAGTTGTCAAGAATAGTTGATGCTGCTGACAAGTGATGTCGTGACTGGAAAAATCCATTCTGTTCAGCAAAAAACTGTGACAATGTTGCAGAATTCAGAGCCCAATCAATAGGTTCATAATCAGCGTACTGTAACTGTCGTCTTAAAGTAACATGACAGTATATAGCAGATTTCAAATTCTCCTTCAAAGAACCAAAAACTTGAGCAAGATAATAAAGGGTCAGAGTGTAAGCTTTCTCCAACAAGATAAAATCACCAACATCAGTTTCTCCAGCATTATTTATTATATTTTCAATAGGCATAGGCATTTGCAAAGTACATTTGAAGGATTCATACAATTCTTTAGCACTAAGAAGGAAAACTTTGGCTTTGCCTGGCTCATCTCTATTAGACCACAGGATACCCAGATTGTTATAAATGTTAATCAATGTTATAACTATTTCTGGTTTTGTGGAATTAGCAGTTAAAAGTTCCACAGCTTCAGATAAAACTCTTTCACTTGACGTAAGTTCTTCAGTCTCCATGTCAATAATACCGATGTTCAATAGTACTGTTCCTAACATTGCATCGAACTTGACACCACAAAGATTAGAATCAGGATTCGAAATTTTCTTTAAATTAACATACATATTCATCAGTATTTCCTTCGCTTTATATTTGGAAAGATAAGGCTCATTTTCGGGATCATTCTTGCTATCCTCATCAAGAAGTTTACGTACTTTGCCGTAGTTTTCTTTAAAATCATTATATATCTCTTTCTCGGTCATTTCAGAGGTTACTTTCATATTAATTTCGAAGAATTTTTTAAGAGCACTATGTAATGATTACGATCACTATTTCAAGGAGTATTAATTCATCACTTTATAATTTACCATAATCAGGCACAGTTACAATTATTTTTAATAAAGGAATCAATTGATCGTGCAATTGATCAATACATGTACAAAGCCACAAACTTCATATCATTGACAATGACAGATAGGGTTTGAACTAGCGATGGCCGATTGTTGCAAAAAACACGATCAACTGATCGGTAATTGTTCTACTGCGCATTCGAGAGTCGATTTAGTAGTTCCCTGTCATGATTATTCGAATAACAATCGTCTTAACTACTAACTGTACGCACACTATGTGATCATACTGTGTTATGCGCGCGCGGGCGGTTCGGTAAGTGAAAAAATTGTTTAGCACTATTTCTTGGATATCCCTAGTAATCTAGTACGTTTTGAGATGTCATCTAACCTCACATAAGGTACTTATTTTTATTCGATTGTCAACTGTTCCGACTCGATATGTAAGGTAAGTAGGTATGTTAAGAGTTGATTCTCGCATACATGAACTTTACTTAAACTTCGGTTTATTACATCCGTCACATTGTTCTTCAAAAATATTTAAAGATAACTTTTTGAAATCGGTGACACCAGATTTTATAAATATTTTAAAATTAAATAATATCAGTAAAATTTCATTAGTTTTGAAGAACAATAATGACGGATTGTATCAAACTTTACAGTTTGACAGTTCTAATGTGTCCGTAAGACACCAAACAGTGAGTATGAATGGTCCCCCGCGCTCGCTACTTTTTCAAACAAATCCATTTCAAAAATAATTCGTAAGAGCCTCTATGATTGCTTTTATATACTTCTAGTAGTTACCATGGCAGGTACCTACTGCTTGCTTGGAAATTCTAACACTCGTATCTACCTCATGTAGTCATAAGTTTTGGGACGAAATAAAAATTGCGTAATAGCTTTTTTCATAATTAATTATATTTCAAAAAAATTTAGTAACCATTAAATAGATAATAACCAACAATAAAATATATATTTTATTTAAGATGACCGCCCTTGTTTTAAATACAGGCCCTTAGACGATTTGGCCAGTTATAAATGGTGGCACGAATATTTTCTAGCGGAATTCGCTTTGCTTCTCGAACGCTGAGTCTTGCTGAAAACCCTAAATCCTTGTTTTGAAATAACGTATCAGACAGAGGTATCACCACGGGCTCTAAAATGTCAGATAATTCTTGGCTTTCATCTTGACACCTTGTTGGCAGAAATGGAGCGGACTGACACCTTCATACTAAACTCCCCACCATACCATCACCCTAACCGGATGATGAGTGCGCGAGACATGGATTTCAGCGAAGTCGCTCTCGGATGATTTCGATGTGCGCAGGCGTCCTCACAGACTATGGCCGACCACTCCCTTAGCGATCTTGCAGAGAACTTGTCTCTTTGTACCGTTGTATTGTGTAATAAACAAAATTTCGGCTTACAGGAAAACTTTTCAGCTCGCAGAAAATCTGCATCGGTTTTTTTCCCGCCTTAAATAGCGAAATGACAGTTGCACGTCATTGTTTTGTTCCCTCCATCACGATAAAATATAGGGTATGTTCCGATATACACTGCGAGCACTGCGCAGTGGTCATACTGCTGAAAAATCCGTTCCGTTATGGACTGCCAGTACACTGCTACAGTACCCTAGGGAAATTTATGACGTCATAAATTGCCGCCATATTTGTACTGTGAGCACTGGAGATTTCGAGGTAAGGTGCTCGCAGTGCTTTTGATCACGTGATCAGTCGAAACAGACTCAGAAAATGATAAGTTTCTAAATAAACAAAAAAAATACTTACGTTTATTTATAAGATGGATTTAATTGACAAATATTTTTTTTATACAATTTTCTAATTTTCTTTTAAAAAGAGGGAATCTTTATATTTATATTCACCTTGCATTAACAAATTTGAAAATGGCGCCAAAAAAATAGGATTAACAGTATACTGGACTACGTTCCGTTTTAAAAAGTCACCAGTATAACTAGCTATAAAGGAACGGGCTTCCAGTATACTAAATTGACGTCATACTGTTCAGTGGTCGCAGTGTATATCGGAACATACCCATAAACAAATGAATTTGCTATACAAATAAACTAACAATTAACATTCCAAATTCAAAATCGTTAAAAAGAAATAACAGTCAGTAACATTTTATAACTTACCAACACACGAGGAGAATACTATTATTATTAGATAATCAAATTCTAGTAGGTAGTACCTATAGTCGGTAGAGAAGTAATTACTTGAGATACTACCTACTAGAATTTGATTATCTAATAATAATAGTATTCTTTCATTCAAACTCTTATATTTTTTTAAATATTTGCATAAGAAATTACTTTTACTAGACTACAGACACGGGTGTAAAAACCTACTAACAGAGCGATCGCTTAACTTATCTAGCTATAACGCTAGAAATGAGATACGACATCTTAGCGATGTTATAGCGTTATTTCGTTTCATTTTACTACTTTGACATATACTTTATCATCAAAGAACGAATGATGAATCTGGATATGACAGCAGCGTTTTCAAGTTAGTTATTTATTCAAAATCTATCCACCAAATGACATGTCAGAGTAGGAAATCGAAACGAAATATCGCCATAATATTCGCTTAGATATGCGGTAGTATCCCTGGTAGACGAAGCCCTCAAAAAACCAAAAAAAGTAGTGCTAACGTCCATCTCTCCTTAGCTGAGATTGATTAATTGATATAAGTATCGAACCCTTGGGTCCTCGCATCACCTCTGGCATCTGGGATTGGTGATTTTTTTTAACATAAATATAAATTCTATTGGTATAAAATAAAACATGAGTCATACTTATTTTACACTGTTTATTATTAAATCATGTTTTTACAAGTACACCACCCATACAAGTCATACATGCATCAGCCAGCACAATTCCCTTATCCATAGACACACGGCATAAATTAAATTACTTAAATAATCATTGTATTTACATTGTACTGTTAAAAAATGTTATTAAAATATTTTCTATACAAATCTTAGTTTATCGGTCACACTTTCGCATATAATCTATGTAGTTAAACACATAAAATAGGTAAGATTTGACGTATGAATAAAGGAATTCTATGCCATGAGGTTAGGAGGCATAAAAACTTAATGATATTACCAGAAGGCTAACATGTTTGATTCTGTCACTAGAGGCGCTAATGTAGAGTGAGGTCTTCAAAATGTCAAATATTAATTAATAAATATTTCTTTGTCGTTGAAATTATTGTAATTTGAAACTTATTTTGGGTTATCTAAGATTCATTAAAGCAATTATAAATTACGGATCAATGAATGTCAGTGCTTGGAAAACGGAGCTAAGAAAAGATGTAAAAATAAGCTGCTTGAAATAACGGCTAATTCAGACCTTATTATTTATTGGGCATGCTCGATATCTTGAATAAATCTTGCGACTGTCACGCCATCATACGAGCAAAAAAATGTTATCTCTCATTGCGTACATTTTAAATTGCTAAACGCTATTTATCTTTATCTTATATTTCAAATAAAATATTTTCATTTGCAATTATTGCTCTATGTAAAACTTAAAGATTGCATTTAGTTCTCTGTCTGAGCGCTTAGTGTAAGTTTTTTTGACGTTTACGTTCACTGTCGATCGTGAGCGCGTTAAGATTTTAGTATGGAATCCGGCACAGCGCCCCTAGCGGTAACTATCAAGAACTACAAATCTCCATACAAATTCTTAACGCGCTCACTAGTGAACGCGTTAGCGTAAAACTTACACTTACCACTCTGATATTTACATACATGCACAGTTCGCGCCATTGAAGAAAACTTTGTCTCCTTTTTAATTTAACCAGTAAAGAGGTCGCTTTTTATCAGTGCAAGAGAATAAGTTTCCTTCATACATACGCACCGAAATTGAGTTGTTTGCGAGTGCTCCCGTGCGTATGCATCGTCGCACGCACACTTACAAAATTTATCAATGTTAAAGCTGCTTAAGGACGAGTGGTAACTCGATTACGATTTTGTGACGTATTTACACTGGTCGATGGTTCCACGGTCGGCTGTCGGCTGATGTTAAGTCGTGAACGTCGATGTTCAACTTTCAAGCGTTTTTATAATTTACGAAGACGAAATAATAAACTATTTAAGTATGTAAACCATTTTGTAGAAAGGCTTATTCAAATATCTAACATTTCTGTTAATAGCTAGACAAAAACGTTAAATTATAGCTACGCACTAAGTGACAAAAAAAACGCGACTGTCGCGGTAATAAAAAGAGTCTTGTTTGCCCTTATTATAGTCGTAATGTCGTCAGATTATAAATTATAAAAGCGCTTAATGCCATCTATTAACGATGACGTTATGAACTTAAAACAAAAACTATTACGTTAAGAGAATATCGACATCTTTATTGTAAATAAAAACAAAATCATCATATTAAAAAACTAGCGCCATCTATTGAAATAGTGATGTTTCACTCACTCCCATCAATTTAAAAGAGCGGGTAAATAAAAAATCACTTTTAATTGGTTTTGTACACGTGAGGTTACCACAATATATCAAATGTCGGAAATCGATTTTATAACTATTTTTGCATTAAAATGTAAGGGCAAAAGATTTTTACTCTCTTATCGCAACTGGCAATGAGAAAGGGAAAGAGAATTGCGACTTGCGTGGCAAAAAGAGTTTTTAATTAATTACTTGCGAACTATTAAAGCGCTACACAATTCCCTCAGCTATTAAGTACATGACATAGTTATCAATTTTCAGACTACCACAATATGTCAAATTTTCCCAATTTATTTTGTACTCTAACTTTAATGCAATAAGGTTTAAAATCATGTAGATAGTGACAGCTTGGTAGAGGCCTATTAGTATTGACTGTACAAAACCAATTGAAAGTTAGTGATATTTGGTTTAGCGCCCTTTTAAAAAATGTCACATAATCGAGTTCAATTTTAGTCCCTCACACTGACAGTTTTTAAGACAATTTGACGTTATACATTTGATTACCACAAATACTTCAATCGGTCAGTTGCATGAACGTTCATTAAGATTAAATTACGCTTTTAAGCTCTAATGAATGTCAAAATTGTATGGTAATGTCGCTTTAAACTAATTACTGATTTTAATGGACGTTTGTGCATCTGACGATATGTATACTGCTATAAGCTATTTTGAACAATAGTGACACAGACACAAGCGCGCATGCGCGCGTTACAGTCTCACTTACAAGGAGTAAGCTAGACGGCAATACATACTAAACGATATACGGTCAGTTGCGCAAACGTCCATTAAGGTTTCAAGATACCTTTAAGCTCTAATGAATGTCAAATTGGGTCGTTAATGTCGCTTTAAACTAATAATAATTTTAATGGACGTTTGTGCAAATTGCTGATAGTTGTGATGACACACCTCAGTGAGTAATTATGAATCAATTGCTGTCCTTAAAGATTATATTATTTCTAGCCTTAACTACAAAGCTTCTAACGTAAATTCAATGATGACATTACGTTTTTTTGTCGTTTCCGTTCACCGTTAATCGTCAGCGCGTTAAGATTTTAGTATAGAATCCAGCCCAGCGCCCCTAGCGGTAACTACCAAGAACTACAAATTCGAAACGACTAGTGAACGCGTTACAGTAAAACTTACACTTACCACTCAGGAGGACAAAAGAAGGGAGGAGTGGTACTAAAATCAAAATTCGTTACTAATCGGTTCGGTTCGGTACTAATCATAACTGATTACATTTTATAATCCTAAACTGTATGTCTATATTAAATTTGACCAAATTCTGATACAAACTTATTTGGTTTATATCATAATATTACCAAGCGGGTAAGGGTTTTTTCATATTCGCTGCATGACAGGTTACAACAATGCCAAATTTCTGCAATGGTGATTTTAACCTCTACACTCAAGGTTTAAAAATCGAGTGCGGATATATGGCTTTTTACAAGAGGTATCTTACTAGAGGCACATTATGGAAGATTCTACAATAATAGATTTCACATTAAGTGTCAATAATCCAATTTATTTAAAGTAATATGCACCTCTGTGTAGAAGAGATAGCAATTCATGCATGCCAAGCTAGTAAATGAATATAAAATAGTTAATAGTTATTCATGATTTGAATTTATTAGATATTTACATAATATATAATCGGTAATGCGTATATGGGACACACTAGACGCAGATAACAACATGATGATTTTTTAAATATCTGTCAGTCGAGTTATTCGCCGGTATCCGCCAGAAAGCGCAATGAAAGCATTCCGTAACAAAATATAAAAGTGTATTACACCTATTCATTGAGAAGATCTCAAATTTCTTATTCAATCGCTTAGTGCCATAAAACTAGATTGAATTTTTAAATTTAACGCTGGAAGCAATGTAGATATTTTTTTCGACTATTCTATTTCTACTCAATATTGAATATTTTTCCGTATGTAGAATATAACATCCTATTGTCTGCGACTGACATCCAGCGACCGCGCTTAGATATAAGGTACCTGTTTATATGAAACCATGCACACGAGCAAGGCGGAGACAAGACAGACCTCTTTAGTCTACTGACTGTCTAACAGCCTTGGAAGGTAGCAAACAGGGCCTGCCTGCAGGCAGAGGCTTAGCATGATGACCCATATAAAAAAAGTCATTTAAAACTACATGTTTAGTATTAATTGAAACAATTAAACAATCTTATTATTATAAGTACCTACCTAATAATAAACATATCCTCATTAGTCAAACATAATTCGAACATCAAAAATACACAGATATTGTAAATTTCAATTAATCACACATGAGGTTTTTTTATCTGAATTATATAAATTCGTCAATTGCATTTGACCAAGTTGCAAATACTCACTCACTGAGTAATTGAAGGTACATTCAAACTGAAGCGAATATCAAGTGAAATGCAGTAGCGTTGGCATATTGTGTGTATTATGTTGTAAGTACTTACTACATAATTTGCGACGCAAAACAATACTAAATTTTGAAAGAAAATTAATTTAAAATTGATTATATTATGAAGAACGTATACACGCAACCAACAGCTACTGCAAGCACAACTTAGAAATTGTTTATCCAAATAAATTTAAGAAATTGTCTCAATCAGTCAAAATGAACAAGAAAATTGAACAATTCTTGTACTGCAAGTATTAACAGTCAGTCTGAATACACCTTTACACATCATCACAGGCAAAAATAAAAATATGCTTAAGAAAACCAATTTTAACAATTATTACTAAAAATATTTAAAAGTTAAAACACTTTTAGATTTTTTTTCAATGGAGCCCAAATAACTAAATGCTTAATAAGTATAGATTATTGCAATTAAAATAAACCATGGCAAATTTAATCAAAGTTTTAGCGTCAGTCTAATATAATTTAACTCAATAACGGTAGCAATTCTGTTATATTATAAACTAGACTAAATCAAAGTGTAGTCTCACCAAACTGCATTTTCAAATGTGAAAATAACTAAGTTAATATATAATAGAAGTAAATTTATAATGTTAGTACACAGAAGAATGTATAATTGAATTTGTGTACATAAAAACAAATCCAAATTAAGGTTACTATTTAATTTAATTCGGAGAGTGGGACAACAGAATTGGTACCAATATTTTAATAATTGTAAAAATAATCTATTATTGTACTAGTTCATTATTGCATAAGATAATTTCATATATGTAGTAGGAATCATTATTAAATTACAAATACAATTATTTTTATACCAATCAGAGATGAGACAAAATCTTTCTTGTGGATGCTTTGCACTGGCTGGTGCATACTTGTTTTACATAATTCTACAGCTACAAGAAAGTCTTCACCTCATGTAAATGCACATTTAGGATCATCTATAAATTATGTCATATGTTATGGCAAAATCAATTTTAATATCTTTAAACATATGGACGCTGGAAAACAAACACATAACCCACAAAACCAAGTGATGTTAAGAACAGAAAAACATTTATTTTTTCGATAAATAATTCCTATAAACGTCCATGGTAACAAATACGGTGTTCCTTAGTCAATTTATACGGAAATAAGATTAATAAGATATAAGATTTCCCTCTCAAATGTCCATTTTGGTTTTGCAGATTACTATGTGTTTGCCTTCCAGAGTTGATATTTATATTTTATCAAACAACTTTCAGTTTTAAAGATCAAATATTAATTTTTCAGACAAAGGACCAGCAGTTAAAAAAGATGTACTTAAAATATTTTGATGTAAATCATGAATGAACCTAAAGTATAAAATTATGTGATTACAGTGTTCAAATATACCACTTAGATAAATGGTTTTAAACCCTGTGGATAAGAGTAAAGAACACAGTTATCATGGGCATTGCATGCATGAACAAAATATAAGTGTTTGAACATATCTAATTATGTAACAAATTCTTAATACAAACAGTGCTCTCTACAATAAATGGCATTGCCAAATACATGTATTAGGAACCTGCTTCCTGTTCTTGATCCTCCGTAGAAAGCACTCGTGGGGAGGTTGTATGTGTATTCATTTGGGAAAAAACTTCTTTTTCTCCCAATGCTAAGGGGTCTGGCTGTGCAGCCGGAGAAGGCGCATATACCATCATAGGTGATGGTGATGCAGGTCTTACAACTCCTCCTCCAGAAGCCTCCTGTTCCTCAAGGAATCTGTCCATATAATCAGTATGACCTGGATGCAAAGTATACTTTTTCTTCTCAAGTCGTGCTTTGTTTGCAAAAATATCATGTCGCTCAGTTTTCTTCCAAATGTAGTAAAATTGAACCAATTCACCAACTGACCTTGTTCGTACTTTGTGTTGCCGTATTAAATGAAAGTCTTTACCATGAGCTTTGAGACCATTTTCAAAGTTACGGCATTCCTCCTCAGACCATAAACTAGCATGGGCTGGAGTTTGAGCAGAAATTCGTCTTCTTCGCAATGCTTCCTCCACATTGTGTCCACATTGCTGCAATAAAAATAATGCCTCCTCATCATCACGCAGCTGCTTACCTCTAGGAACTGCTTCCACTCCTGTACCAGAGTTCATTGCACAAACTTTTTTCATATATTCTTCTATAACTTTTTCCTCTAAAACACTTGGATTCCATAGTAGTTTATCCTCATTCTCATATGGTAGCGCATCATCGTAACTGCAAAGACCTTCTGGTATACCAGCTTGGTAGTCACTACCAACCATAATAGTCTTTTTCCAATCATCTTCATCTGGACTATAGTCATAGTCATCTTCCTCCTCAGATGGAGGTCTTGAACCAGACCGAAGGCATCTAGTTGCCTCAGGGCTAGTAGTTTCGGTATACAGTTGCTGGAGTGCTGACTCTGGTTTCTCTGTTTCCTCAGGCACCACCTCGGGTGTAGGTTCTACTACCGGTTTATCCATATTTCTATCGTAACCATAAAGAGCAAGCAATTCTTCCAAGGGCATATCCCCTTCTCTTTGTAAACTGTTTAACTCAGCCTTAGGGTCTTGCTGCTCACCCGCCGCTAAAGCTTCTTCTTCGTCTAGTGTTCTTTCGTCATCAAAATCATTTACCATCATATCCACTGTAGGTTCAAAGAGAGATTTATCGTTCCCCACGTCCATACTCGCATCGTGTTCGTTAACATTAGTCACTAACGCACAGTCGGACATGACGATCAGTGAGTGGCCACTATGAAGATTTTATCATTAAAACATGATTGCAACGTGGACTATGGATGACTAATAATAAAGAATGATTAAAATTAATCAAAAACATTACATTAAGCACACATTCTAAGCGACTTTAAAATAAATTAATGAGGAACAAAACAAAAATATTTTGACACGCACGAAATCACTCTGTGATCACCATATCAAACTGCATTTTTTTTACTGCATTTACGTATATAGGCAAAGGAGTAGTTGACCTTACAGCTGTATTTGTAAAATGTAAATGCGTAAAGATGCTTGTTGTATAAAGAAGTATTTTTCATAATCAAATAATCAAAATACATTTTGTGTCAATGAAGTGAAAAATAATTTATATTATATAGTTAGTGTTTAAATAAAAAAGGTTATTTCAAAAAAATTATGAATATCATAATTTTTAGGCAAGTTTTGTAAGTATTTTCAAATTTTAGCTAAGTTTTATTTAAAAGGTTTTTAGCAGAAACATATACATTTTCCGAACTTTTTAGTAATTCGACTTTTTAGGAGCTTTTGCACCGCGAGGACGTGTACCAATGAGGAACTATTTAAAAAAAAACATTAATTCCCGCAATCAAACTAGATGTCGCTACGGTATATTCTTGATTTCTCCATGACAACCTTTCCGGTTTTATTTCATGTTTAAAAGTAAATTAGTTATCAAAACTCAATAAAAAACCCATATTATATTTGTACTTTTTTTATATTTGTATTGACATCTAAGTTTCGAACTCTAAAATTTCTGTTTTTTAATATGTTAGTTCAAAGGAACGGAAATGACTGTCTTTGGTCCATTCGTTTTCTGCAAAAATCAACTTTTGCTAGGGTCGCCATCTAGTGGAAGTGCTTTTTAGTGCATTCATTTTTTTTTAAATACTTCCTCATTCCACGAAAAGTTTATAAGCATCCAAAATAAATAATAAAATCAAAATGTATGAGGGCTCAACCAGCTGATGCTAAATTATTCAATTTAACAAAAAAATATGGCAATTCATTTCTATATAAATAAATAAATAGTTCAATGGTGTAGTTATGTGGTATGTATTACTGGGCAGATTGATTTCATATCCATTTAAATACCAACTGCTATACTTAACTGTTGTCATTTAAGCTATCTATTAAACAAATTTATTAGTATATGATTAACTTAAATGATTTAATAACTATTATAATAAAAAGTGGTCATCGTAAAGAACCTAAAGAAGCAGGGTTAGATAGTTTAGGCACGATTCTCGTGTCACTATAACTCTATCAAATTTAAAACGTTGCCTAACCCCTTCAAACGTTTCCGCAGTACAGCTTTTTAATTTTGTCAGACTATTATTTATTCATAATTGTTAAAATCGTAATCTGGGATTGTCATCCATTGTGAATGCTAATGACTTTCTTGTTGATTTGCCGTTTTCCGTGATTAAGTTGTTATTGTTTTATTTTTGTTGTTAAGTTTTGGTAAATATGGACGTCCAGTTTTTCCAATGTCTTCATCAATAGTCTAACTTATTACACTTACAATTAGAATTTATCAAAACAGAACAGTTGGCTTGAGAGTAAAAGATGAATTTATAAAATGCTGGCCTCATCTCAACCCCGAGATATCGTAAAAATGGAAAATTGCCCAGCTCTTTCAGACTACCTAACATATAATTTAAAAAACGAATGAATATATTTATAAAATTTATCTGGAAAATAAAATGTTCTGTACTGCTGCTTCTATGACCCTCTTTTTTCTAATGTTATAATGAATGGAGTATAGGAATTCTGGGTGGTTTGGTTTCATCCATTAAGAATATCTGTGCTTTAGCGCCACCAATCCGAATTTTGACCTGCACTCGGGCCTAATTAGAAATGTTGGGTGGTGCTGGTGGTGCGTTTGATCCTCCTTAGAAACTTTAGAACCTTTGTGAACGTAGCTTAAATTTAGCAATCGCAGATCAAACGTGTTAACCACACAGGCACGTGTAACACCGTAACATACACTTAACTTCAAAAGATTCTAGGCCAATGTCATATAGTAACAGAACATTTTGTTTACATAAAGAAACGATTATTCATTTATAATATAAATATAAGACAACATCATATTTAGCTCGGATTCGAAGATGAGTAGCTAAAGCACCCGTATTATGGACTATCTGGGACAACGTTTACAACAATTTAATGCAGTACAAATGTTTCTATAAGCATTTTGTTTGAAATTTAATAGTAAAATAATCATTACATTACTAAAATTTATTTTTAAAAGTTTCCAAGCCAAATTTACTGTCGAAATTTTGTAACGAATTAAATAAAATTTAATACTTTTAAATCCTTTCACAGTGACGACTGCATACATTGAATTTTCTACTCCACGTATCTACCCAACCCAACCCAACTGTTGAAAAATGTATTGCAACATAATTTTTGAACTTTGCGAATTTCAGTTTTTTTTATATCTATTCTAATATTATAAAGAGGAAAACTTTGTTTGTATGTATGTTTGTTTGATTGTGATGAATAGGTTCAAAAACTACTGGACCGATTTTAAAAATTCTTTCACCATTCGAAAGCTACATTATCCACGAGTAACATAGGCTATATTTTATTTTGGAAAAAATAGGTTTCTCTAAGATATTTTTCGGACACAAGGTGTAAAAAATTGAGCAGAAAAATTACTTATTTTGCGTACGCTGCCTAACTATAATAGATACACCCATAAATGTTCTCATTAATTGTAGATCTTATAAATCTACAAAAAAGTACGCGTCACACTATACCGATATATGTCGAGTGAGGCACAACCATTTTTTCATTTAAAAATCTTGATTTTTTTTGGACTACATTTAAACGCCTTTATTTTACTCATGTTATTAATCCTTATCAAAATAAATTTCATCACTAAGTACAATTTATGTAGATAATATTTGGTCTTTGAATGACTAAAATTGGACGTTTGGTTTTGAAGTTATGGCGAAATTAAAATATTACGATTTCTGCTGCACGGCCCGTTACGAAGTGGACGTCACCGAGGCGGGCGTGTGCAGGAGAGAAGTTTAGATCTATGGGTAAGGTACCAGCGGACCAAGCGGGCGAAGCCGCTGGCGAAAAGCTAGTGTTAATTAAAAGGAACCAAAATGACTATCTTTGGTCCATTCGTTTCTTCTAGTGTGGTGCTTCTTTAGTGCTTTCTCTTTTTAAATACTTCCTCATTATAAGTCCTCTTATAATACTAAGTTCATGATTTAAGTACAAGTGTGACGCGGTCTTACAAATATACCAACATGTAGGCATAGAGTTTGGAAGATTTGATAGACAAATTATCAGATATTTTGTCAAAGTCAACCTCATGTCAAATAAAAATGTCAATCTATCGACCATTGATGTTGCTTTACGTACAGTAATATACAAAGAACAATGTTTTTGTTAAAAAAATAAATAATTTAATGATGGTGTGGACTAAAATTCCTCTCGTAGTGTAGTATTATCTATTCAATATTCTTGAGAAACTGATTAAAATGTTACGCACAGTGCTCACATTAGTCGCTGCTATATTTCAAGTGTCGCTTGGGTTTTCTGATGTAGGAAAATGGGATTTGCCGCTAAGTGGGGTAAGCGTTCAATGTTTTATCAGCTTTATAGTTTATGTATATGTTTAGTAAAACTATTGGCGTGAGTACTTTTAATTGCAGTTGTAAAATGTTAAATATAGGTGTACCTATGATTCATTGTTTGTAATATTGTATTATCTTATTTCCTGAAAATTCTTTATATTTACAGAAAAGTTGCCGTTTTGAATTAGCTAAATCTCTATTTATAAATTCCAAGCTGATTGCAGTATGTAAGTATAATAATGTGATGATTTTGTTAATAAAGCAACCAACAAAAAGTTTACTTTTGTGTTAAAAATTCCATCAATCTTATCACTGCCATATAAAATTTTCAATTCTTTCTGAAGTAACTACTACATTTTATATGCAAGACAACCCCAGAACTCAAATCAGCTATTCAAATTACCATCTTGGCTACAGTTTTTAATATAATTCATGTTTTTACCTATAAAACGATTGGTGAATATTCTTCACTGCAACCTATCTGCAAACAATTATATTTACATTGCTCTGATCTCAAGAGAAGTGGCTATAACACTTTAAAATTAAACCAATTAACTAGATTTGAGTCATTAAAGAAGTGTCAATTTTATATCTGGGAGATAAAGCCAATAGAATCTTTAAGAATAGTAAGTCTAGATATATGTATATATACTGCACTTTTATCTGCTATTTAATTCACCTAAATGTTGAAACTAAATTAGAAATAAAATGTAACATTCTGTTTTTGTACAGTGAACAGCACATCAGGTTACACAAATCTGTCAAATTTCTTTACTTAATTATAAACCATAATGGTTTGAATTTAGAATTTAAAATCAACTGGACAACTTTGACATATTATGGTAGCCTGACATGCAGCCATGTTATTATCTTTACAGTACATTGCAATGTGGATTCTGCAAATGTTACTGTAATTTATACCTGGGCACCTTCACTATGCTCTGCTGATTACTTTCACTACTTTGAGCAGGTAAATATTAACATAGATAAATAAATTAAGATCTTACTAATTTGGCATATAACTGTGTATTAATTACTGAATTATATAGAAAATTTATAATAAATAAAGGACTTTATACAATGTGTAATAGAAATAATGCACTATTAATAAGTAATAGAAATAATGCACTAATAACACACCCTTATATGTTTTTTAATCATAAAACGAAAATTGTTTGTGTATGGACACAGTTATACTAATTGCTGGGTAACAATGTGGACGTCTTAAAAGTCCACCTAATGACGTCAAAATTACAGCTTAGCCTGCAATTATACAATGCATGTCCCAACAGTGCAATACCACAATGATACCACCTACCTACCAATAAAAATTCTCCACATAAAATATTATTCTGTTTTGAGATTCAAAGTGGTTTAGAAAATAATTATAATTCTTGTTATGGCTATTGGGTAGCATAGTCTTACGATCATGTATCACACGGCAAGCACATTATTACCACATTGTACCTAACCCTTAAGCATTTCAATGTATTTACTGTATGTTAGTATAATGAAGAATCATCACTTGAAATTGAAAATTCAATAAACTTAAATTGCAATAAAATAATTATCCACTGACACTGTCATGTTAGTCACACATGCTTAGTTATGGTATATTATTTTTCTTTTTGTTTATGTATTTTACACTCTTTAGTTTATGAACTTGTTTATCATAGCGTATAAGAGCATTTGAGACTCAAGGCACATTAAAAGAAAACTCATTTTTCTTTTGTTGCACTTTATTACTAGCTAAGATATAGTGCATTTTAAAAGCCTTATTACATTAACTTAAGTTTATTTATTGTTTGTGACAGCTGTAATGGTTACAGATGACCATAATATACTTGATTCCAATTAAATTTTGCAAAAAAATACTTTATTTGAAGTTATTGAAATCAAATCAATTTCTGATTTTAAACAATCCATTTTCCCGATGTGCATTAATTATATTACCCATTGTATAATGGGAACACCAAGTTTCCCCTTTAAGTAATGTGTCATGGTTACAATGGCAGTGTGTAAGTAGGGGTAGGCAAAGAATTCCTATTACTAGATATCGGTCCATGAAATTGCTGGTTGTATGAGATTATTAGTAGCATACATTTCACATATCTCAAATTTGTTGGATAAGTGCTTGCATTAAAGAAGTTGTGTCTGACTTTAGAAGACACCAGAATCATGCAGACCTAAAATAAATAAAAGTTAATTTAGACTTCACCTTGGATTTATCAACTATGCATACCATTGTGTCTGATTAAACTTCTGCACAACACAATCCAAATAACCTCAAAATGTTGACAGACAGGACACTATCTGCAAGACATTTTGTTTGGATTATATTTAAAGACAGCACATTTAATTTAAGGGGCTATCTGTTAAATTGTATTTAAAATCTTTTAATAAAACATACTACTACTAAACAAAAACAAATATCACATTTTTAAATAGTTATGAAGAATTTAGTTACTACATCTAGTGCTGGATTCGTCGATTTGATACTTTTATCGTATTTGATTATGTACGCATATCGATATATATGTATTTGTTATAGATAGTATGTATTATAAGTTTTTATGTAACCACATGTTTGGCAAGAAATCTTTATTTTTTTGTTTCGTTGTGCACCTTGCCACCATCGGTTTTCCCACAGCACACTAAGGTTGACTGGGAGAGAATGCCTAAGGCATTAAGTCCGCCAATGTACTTTTTTGTGCATGAAAAAATAAATAAATAATAATAAATAAATAAGTTTGTGTTGTGTTCGGTTCTACATATTAAATGACCCAATTTTTCTTTTATTAGCAAATTGTGGATTGTTCAGAAAGAGTAGATATGCCAGTGATTGATATTGGCAATACAAGCATAGTAAATGATGCTATAACTGTAAAGCGAACATATACTTGTCATGACAAAAATTCCATTTTATTACACGATGAGAGAATCAATGATGACGTCAATAAAAAGATAGAGGAGATGCATTCAATCAGTGTAAGTATAAATACAATATGTCTAAAGTAAAAGTTAAATACTATATAAAAGGAATAATAATTGCCCTATGTATACATAACACACTACGATTCAACAATCTTTATTTAACTTAACCAACAACTTAATGTGTTTAAAATCAGTTAGCAGCATTCGTCTCAGGCCTTGGCTCCTTAGCTGCTAAACTAAATATGATCCTGGATCTTTTAGAGTACATTCATCCTCATCCAGACTCAAAGCCCATTGAAGCGTCAATCTGAAAAGTAATATAGCAAGTTCACCCTTGTCTTCTTGGTAATGTTTCTATTTCTCCTGAGTATTAGAATCGTTACTTTGTTCGTATTCACTGATTTGAAATTATAAATATTAAAAATTAAGAACACTGGCATTTAATTCTGCACTAGTATGATTTGACCCTTATAATTTTGTTCACATAATATGCATTGCACTGTTAACTATGCAGATAAAGTATATACCAACCTGCAATAAAATAAAATGTATTTTTAATAAATTCTTATTTTTATTCAGAAAACACGTCCTGTACTGACAGTGAAGAAAGAAGGTGTCTATCAGTTGATGATGACAGTATTGAGCACTCCTAATTTCAAAGGATCAATGCAAGTGGAAATGGTGGCACCGTCTGGTTACCTCTCGGCTGCAATGTATCCTCTATTAGTGGTGAGTTATCACACAATGCTTCCATTAATTTGATTATAGAACTACTATGATCTCGTACTGTTAGGTGATGATCATAATAATCAGCGAGCATATATGAAAAGAATAGTAAAAGTAGATTAGACGAAAAATATATGTAACGACCATGCCATGTGGCACTCGATCCTCCCTGCCTATCCCGCAAGGGATACGATAAAGATAGAACTACTGTGTGGTCCCAGCACTTTCACACACACCCACGAATATTTATATATATATAAATGTCATTTCATAACTTATGATAAAAAGCTGGTAAGTTTCTTTCGCTTGTTCTTCTTGTCAGCTAAAAGACGTCTTGAACAAGTGGTAGGGGAAAAAAGTTTTTTGGACGATTCAAAAGTGCTTGTAATAGCCTACTTGAATAAAGATATTTACATTTCATTTTCATTTCATTTCATTTCACCTTAATATACGATTTATAA